TCCACTCTCTTAGCAGGATGGCACAGGACCGTGCACAGTGGAAATGGAGCGGACACAAAAATCGTGGGAGCAGATGGGAGCGTGCGGTAATGGTCAGAAATTCAGCGTGAGCGGGATCAACAAGCCCCGCCCTATCACGCAGTGGCGCAGTCAGTCAGTGAGCGCCGTAACAGATGAAGTCAAATTTTGCGGGATTCCATAAATAAAATACACAGAACCCCACTATTCGACAAATATACATAATGAAAAGATGATACAAAATTGAATACCTTGAAAATAGCATTTAAGACTTTTTAATACTTTTTAAGGGCCTTAATTTTCTTCAAATTGATTTATCAACTTTTAATATTTAAGGGCCTTAATTTTCTCTAAATTGATTTATCAACTTTTAAACTTTTTAAGACCCCGCGGACACCCTGTTTTTGAACCTTAAACCACATAAACACATTTCATTACACCAAATACACAAAATAATGTTCTTTTTAGCAACATCATATGACCCCTTTAATGTGACTTTATCATGACCATCGACATCGTGGTTTTCATGGACTTTCATGGACTGTCAGCATAATTAGGACATGTGTGATGAGTGTGTTGCTGTATGCTTGTGAGACATGGACATTGAGGAAGAAAGACAAAGATTTACTGCGGGCGTTTGAAATGAAGTGCTACAGGAGAATCTTGCACATTCACTGGCATCAGAAAATCACAAACGTGGAGGTGCAAAGACGAGTTGGAAACACGAGGAACATTGTACAACTCATCATGGAGAGGAAGCTCAGCCTGTTTGGACATATCTGCAGGATGGAGGACAAGCGACTGGTGAAGTGTGTGGTGTTTGGGATCATGGATGGACGGACACGGAGAGGAAGATCGAGTAGGGAGTGGTTGGATGACATCAAAGAATGGTGTCAGAGGGACATCCACTCTCTTAGCAGGATGGCACAGGACCGTGCACAGTGGAAATGGAGCATCAGACGGGCATTGGACACCAACGGGCGTGAGCCCATGGAATGATGGATGGATGGATGGATGGACTGTGGGGATTTCATAACCACTATAGTAATTTTATGGATCACAAACTCTTAACACTTGATTTGTTCTTTATATCGCTGATAACCAGGTTACAATGTAATTCAGCGATTCCCAAACAGGGATATGTGTCTCTCAGGAGGTAGTAAAAGGGTTTAGGTTTTGCTGTGTTAAACATATAAAACAGAAATTACTGCTGTAAAATAAAGATGTTCAAATCCAAAAAAAAAACAAAAAAAAAGTATTAGGTTTGTCAATATGTGTTAATGTGTGTTTTATTTTTTATAATTTTGCTATGTACTTTTGTCTTTTTCATTAGCTTCTATATTTCTGTTTAGTTTTAATTTATTTTTATTTCAGTTTTAGTTAGTAATTTTAGTACTTAAACATTTTCATTTCAGCAACATTTGTAATTTTCATTTAAATCGTTTGTTTTTCGCATAGTTGGATTTATTTTATTTCAGCTTTATTCCATTCAACAAAAACAATTTGTCGTATAACAGATTGTTTTTTTTTTTAAATGCTTTAGTTGGACAGGAAGATTACTGGTGTTTTTTATCCAATGTATTGGTCATTTTTAGTTTACATCTTGAATGCAGTACGTTAATACTTTCTCTAATACCACTGAGTTTAAATGGAAAGCTTTTTCCCCCGATATCTCTCTTGGGTCTCTCATGGGTCTGCTGTGGGTCATTGCGCCCTGGCTGGTAGATATACTTGTTCTTGTGGTGCCATCCAGATGCATTTTCCTGCAGCTCCAAAGTGATTAGTCACATTGCATTTATGACTGGCTCAAATTGTCAATGAGCAAAGATTGCAGTATTGAATTTAATAGCCAGCTGTATCCAGGTTTTATTGACCTCCATGGTTTGTCCTCTGATCCAGGGGTCAGTACTTTGAAAATGATGCTGGGACACATGCAACAAGTTCAGCATCAGGCATTAATGGTAAAAGGCTCAGTATTGGCAAAATTGTTTTACATTGGTGGCCATTTTCATTGGTGTTGCCTGGCAACGCTGCCTTAAAAGCTGCCCTATGTATCGTCAGTTTGAAAAATGGAATACTGTGGATATTTGCTGTGTATACACTTTAAAATCACAAGGGCCCCATCTACAGTCTCCCTTAATGTGTCGTTACCATTATGTAATCCTAGACAGTATTGGGCTAAATTGGGCCGTCTCCATTTACTTGTGTTCACTCCAAGTATTTGCTGCTTATGGCTTGTTATAAAAGAATGTAGAAAAAGCTGGCATAACTTGGAAGTGACAAAAACACACTAAAATATGGGGATTATTATACAGGACTATCTGGTTGTGCATTTTTAGACACCATAGTGACATTTCAATTAATTCTATACAAGTTTTTGGCGTAAATGTACGGCACGCTATTTTCATTTTAAAATTTGCCCTCATAAAAATAAAAATTGTCCCTGAAAATCAATTCAATGGGGGCGAATATCATTACTTAATAAAGAATTAAATTTCTGACACTTGCCGTGACCCTTTTTCTGTCCAGCTAGACATGTGAGGAATCTCTTTTATTGTCCATCTCTTTGTGTGCAGACATGAGTGTGAATAGCTCATTAGCCCATCCATTGATTGGGCTTCTCAGCTGCCTCTGTGAAATTCTTTTCCGCAAAGACACGGGCTAAAAGGCAAAGCAATCGATCAATGATCAGGAAAGCACTGATCCATGCCGGAATCTGAGTGCCAACTGGCTAAAAGGCTCCCTAAGGAATCTGATGTTGTCCTCATTTTCACTCCGAGGTCTTGGGAACAGAGGACTGTTAATGAGTCATAACAGGACTGACTGTTTTTGGTATTATAAATGTTATTGGGGTGAAACTTGAAAGCTTGTCAAAATGAATTTACAGGTAAATGGCATTTGAAAATATTGAGATCGTATTTGTTAGCATTTTACAGTGCATCCAAAGAACCACTGTGTTTTTGATGATTGCTTATCTGTGAGTAAAACATTTTGTTAACCTCGTGACAAATGCATCTGGGGGCTGTGGTGCTCTGATGGGCAAGAAACATATCTGTCTTGACATTTTGTCTCTTCAGGAAATGCATTCAGTGTGGTCACCACTCAGAATTTAATACTGCCTGGTTAAATGCAAGATTGTCTTTCAAGAAAAAAAAAAAGTGGACCTAAACTGCATTTTGTGTCAAATGTGATATGTAAATAAATTACATAATAGTTTTTATTTCAGATTTTTACTCTAAATACAATATATTTCAGTATGGACAGTGTAGTATCATTTTGTTGACATTTTCATTTTGCGCATGGATGATTACAGGGAACTAGTTAAAACTACATCGCACATTGTTTTATATTTATTTTAATGGGGGTTGCAGCACAGCCACATTTTGCAGGCCAGATCACATCAGGGTGAGCTCACAGAGATTATAAGTGCTATAATTATCCAAATCCCTGGGTGCTTGTGAAAGAAATATAAATGATTGTTGTCATTTCGCTTCTTTTTATTGCAGCGGTGGCCTGTAGCAGGAAAGACCCAAGTACAAATATGTAGTTTTTAATAGGGCAATAACTCAGATGTCCAGCTGGGTTTGGCTCATAAACAAACAGAACTATGGGACATTTAATTTCTCCTTAGTGAGACTACCTAAGCGAAAAAGACTGCTGTTAAGAATTTTCCTGCGATATTAAACATGTTTTCAGGCATTATAGAATTGAATTTGTCTTAGACAGTTTAAGTAGCTTGTTCAACAAAAATCTGTTTGGTGAAATAGAGGAGATATCATTGTTAGGCCCCTAAAGCTTTTAAAATCTCTCCTACTCCTTTCTTAATAAAAGTTATTCATCTAGAAATGGTTTAAAATGCAGACAGATGAGTTCTAATATCATGTTAGATGGCCTTGGAGTTCTTTTATCTGTTTGAGGTGCAGGGAAATATATTTGAGGATTCAGCACATTTAATTTTGTTTTGTCCTCTTTAAGAATTCAATTGTGACATCTTGCTGATTCCATTCATTCAGGATGTATCAGGTTTAAAACAGATATAATATAGTTGCCACTGTATAATCTTGCATAATTAGTCATTGAGTTTTTACTTTTGGTACAATGCTTTCTATCTGTTGCAGGCTTATCTGGTTTATCATACTTCTGCTACAATGTCATTTTTCTTTTGATGCAGTACAGGTACATGGTGACCTTGTCTGTAGCTGCAGAAGCACCTCAACCTGCAATATGACTGAAAAGGGAGGGCAAAGGCTTGTGGACTTCAGTCTGCCTGAACAGTGCCAGCATAGAGTTTGAGTTATAATTTAGCCCTCCTTGTGTCTGACTGATAGCTGGCCTCTAAAAGGCCTGTCTGCACTGCTGAAAGCCTCGCTGATGTACGAGCACGCCTGTCTGACAAATCCTCTGTGTCAGTCAGTGGCTGACGAGCATTCATCATGTTTGTAATTTTTTGGGTTGTGAGTCTGTGCTGGATCTTAAATGGAGCAAATACAATGTGATTCTTTGCAGCTGATTCGGTTGTCTTAGACTTGAACCAGGCAGTCCCCTCTTTATGCCACTGGAAGAATAATTCTCCAGAAAATAAAAATGTTGTCATTTGCCGACCCTGTTGTTTCAGTCACATTTGATGTACTTTTGTGAAACACAAGTACGAAGAACAAGTTTAGCAGAATTTCTAAGCTGTTATTTTCCGAACAACGTTTTATTTATGGTGCTTTTTTTGTTATTTGTAGAGTTTATTGATCATTTGCACTGCCACATGTTCCATGTTGACTTGTTTTTGTAGGCTTGACAGTGTCTATTCCTATTCACTTATATTGTACAGATAAGAGCACCTTGGAGATTATGCTAACCTTCTTTTGTGTTCTACAGAAGAAAAAGTCCTACGAGTTTGGAAAAACATGACAACATGAGAACATTAATTTCTGGATGAACTATTCCTTCAAGACACGTTTGTTAATCATGGTAAGGCTTTTTCCCCAGAACTTAGATCAGTAAACATACTGATTCCAACATTAGAAGAAAAAAAAAAAAAAAAAAACCCTGACATTTATTTAGTTTTTACAGTACCTTAAGCACATTGGTCTCATTGACTAATGTGCTTAGGGTAGAACAGACAGCACAGTCAATATAAAAATCGCTTTTTCACACTCAAAGCAAGGACGCAATGCTTTTAATCCACGTTTATGCTAAAAAATACTCATATAGTATTTGCACAAATTTGCATGTGAGGCTGGAATCATGGCTCTGTTCTCCAGGGATCTCTCAGGAAACCATTAGAAGTAACATTCAAAAGTGTTTTTTTTTTTCTTCTTTTTTTTCTGGTCTAAGATTCAGGAGTAGGCACTTACCCTGTCATGATCAACCTTCTGCAATTTATGTCTGAGAGATGCTTTTAAAGTGTCTGCATTCAACAACATCCAGTCCTGATAGTAATATAATCAAATATAATATATATTTATGTATGTAGATTCCTTAAGATGTACATTTGTGTTTTATTCAGCAAATGTGTAGTCTCGTTACTTAAGTTGTATCTTTCATACTGTAAGTAATTCACACTTGTTTACTGCCTGGCTACTGCACAGAAGATACCTGTTACATTTCTGGATAGAATATATAACAATTTTAGGCATGAAAAGACAGATCTGCTTTTAAATAGAAAAACGACATGTTTCATTAAAAGTTCACATCATAATCACCGTAATCTTCTATTCTACTAGATTTCCTTCTTAACAAACAGTCGGGTCTCTAACACGCCTATGTGGTTGTCGTACAGCACAGACGGTATTGCTTGGGACCACAAGGACTGTTCCACTACTCTTTACACATTTAACAGTCAGGTATGAGAAACAACACCTTCCTGATGTCTTAATATCATCTGTTTTCAGTGAATGGCCCAGAAATATCACACTGCATACTTTAGCAGCAAGTCTCTACCTCTCGCTAGTTACCACTGTTCCATTGCCACTTGCCACATCTGACAGCTCGTGATGAGGGGCTATAGAGCTAGTTATAGATTTTTAGACATCGCTTCCATTTGAATTTGATGTCTGTTTCAAGGCAAAAAGATAAATGGCAAGTTGGAAAAGCAAGTTCTCCGCTCTTGCCTTGTCAGTTTGCTTGTAGTTTTTGTGGTTCTCTGCAGGTACAGCTTAAAATGCATTGTCCAACACATTTATGACTGTGGCTTTCACCTCAACAGCAGCTGGCATCCCTTTGCCAGAAATCCAGAGCCTTGTAAAGGGAGACTGCTGGCTGGTCTCAGACATCAGAGCCATTTTGGAAGGGTATCGCTTCAGTTCTCCATAAATGCAGTGGTTCCTCATAAAGACATAAATCAGAAAGCAAGCCACTGATATCACAATGAAAAGCACACCAAAAGCAGCAATCAGCACCATGTCCCACCTCTCGGAGTCCTTTACGTCTTGTTCTAATCCTTTAGTTAGGACATTGACACATGTGGTGTCATGTTTATGATGGATGCTGTGAATGTCCACGCACACTTTGTACTGTGTAGCAGGGCTGAGATGTGTGAGATTATATACAGTCACGTCAGATGTTACCCTAGCTGTGAATGCCACTGTTGGATGGTTTGCAGTGGGCATTGTATACCACTTAATGTTTGGTGCCAGGCTACCATGAGAGGCATTCCAGGATATCAAAACAGAGTTGGTCTGTACAGATTCGATGTTGACATTCAGTGAGTCATTGACAGGTTGTGGGAAGTATCCATTTACCTCCACTGAGACAGATTTCAGGTCTGCTCCAACAAGATTGTGTGCCACACATGTGTACAATCCAGCCTCGCCCTCAGTGATATCATAAATATCAAGTGTGCCTTCGGGGTGCATGTAGAATCTCGCAGAAACAGCATTTGGGATGACCCTTCTCCCTGACGGAGTCACCCAGTAAATGTCTGGCTCAGGTTCAGCAAAGGCACGGCAGTGAAGAGACACAGATCTCCCACTTTCCACACTGATTTGTGTGGGGAGGCCTTCTGAAGAGATGAGAGGCAGACAGATCTCCATCATCTCTCTGAAGTGAACCTGCCGCACATGCTGACCTTCAAACTCTGGAGGTTCCACACAGAACAGGGAATCAGGCTCCATGAAGCGAATGTTTGTCTTGTTCATGTTCATCCACCGTACAACGCAGTCACAGCGGATTGGGTTAGAGTGCATGCTAACCTCCCGGAGATTTGGGAGGGACTCCACTGTTATCCTGTGGAGGGCACTTAAAGCATTACCATTTAACATTAGAGTTTCCAGCCTCGGCAGCCTACAGAAAGCATTTGGATGTATGTAGGAAAGTTTGGGGTTGTTGGTGGCTTCGATTTTGGTCAGTTCTGGGAGGTTGTTGAGGGCAAAACTATCAATGGACACCAACTCAGGCATGCTGTTAATGCCGAGCTCCTTAAGATGGAGCATGTCCACAAAGTCACCCCTCTGAATTCGCCCAATGGGGTTCTTATTAAGATCCAAAAACTTGAGGCTCTTCAGATTCCTGAGAGCACCATGGGGTACCTTAGGGAATGTATTATCATAGAATGAGATACTCTCCAGATTGTCAAGGCCCAGAAGTGAGTCATCTGGTATCTGTGACAGGTTCATTCTAGTAAGAACCAGGCTGTGAAGGTTTCTCAGAGGTTTGAAGTTCATATCCTGAATAGAGAGGACAGGATTTTCCCCAATCATTAGAATTTCCAAATTTGGTAAGGGCTCAAACCATTCGCTTTTTATACTCTGAAGCCGGTTGGAGTTGAGGTGAAGTCTCAGCAAGCTCTGCAGGCCACGAAAAGCCTCGGGAGAAATGAAGGAGATGAGGTTATGATTTAGGTAGAGCTCCTGAAGGTTGGTCAGTTGAGAAAGGCTGTTGTCTGGTAGGGCACATATCCAGTTTTCCTCCATGTGTAGGGATAAGAGTTGAGGGAGGTGGCCAATATTGACATCACTTATTGATGACAGGTTGTTTTGGGAGAGATCAATCTCAGTGATGTTTGGCAGGTAATCCAAAGGGTGCTCAATCTTAGCAATGTTGTTGGTCTGCAGTAAAACGACTTGTGTATCAGATGGCAATCTCATGGGCAGGTCAAAAAGTCCTAGGTCATTACAGTCAACAGTGGGAGCCTCCATATAGACAGAGCTAGGGGAAAACCAGGGTCTAATCTCACATACACAAAGTTTGGGACAACTGACTCTCTCTTCTGCAGCAAGAACCAAGGTAGTCACTGCAAGACCCACTAGCAAATAATCCGCAAATGATATGTCCTTCATATTGGCACAGTTCCCACCAGTAAGTAGTTGGTCCTAAAAGATTTTGTGGCAAAAGCACTTCACTTCAAAAATAATCAACCATTTGTGGTGATCACTTGAATCCAACAGAGGGCCTTCCCTAGGCCCTGACTGATGTGCTGTCAACAGATGCGATGTCCTGTCGCCAAGTCTCCCGTAATTCAGATTGAAGGTGGCATATGAAATTTTACTGGTTGGGCAGATAAAGGTAAAAAGGTCACCATTAAACCTCAGGTAGCGGCGGTTTCAGCTAGGCAGAAGCAAGGTCGTTCATTTCATTTACTACTACAGATGATGCCATCATCAGCCTAATCCACTTCTACCTGAAGAAAATAAGAAGAAAGAGATGAAAAATATTAGCATATAATTACCAGAAAAATGCAAGGGCATCACTAAGGCAAGACAGAGGCATGCTGACATTTACAAAAGTCACATTAAAGCACTCTGATGTCTGCTGACATTTTATTCAGCAGTACCTTGCACGCTAAGCCTTTGACATACGGATATGGGTGTCCTTCACCTTGGATATTATTTTGGGATTCTGAAGCTGAAGTTCACTAAAATGTGTGAATTATGAAGCTTAGTGTGTTTGACATGTAGGCATTAATATTGCTGCTTATTTTTTTAAAGGGTAGATTCCCCAGATGCAACTCACCGTGATGAAATGTTCTAGCCATGTACACAAAACATTCTCACTACACTCCACTCCACTTTAGTGAAAATAACACAATTGGGCTATAAGCAACATATACCATGGCCTTGAATACAATATATTTTAATTGCAAATACCACATAAAGTATCAATATTACTTTTAAACACCAATTTGTTATTTTTCCACTGTTAAAAGCAACTCTTTGTTGTACTACGCAGAATACTGAAGAAAAATCAGCAATTCTGTGAGAGCTCTCCGCATCACTAGGGTTACTATGAAACGTGCCATAGCCAGAATGCAAGTAAGCAAGACAGACAGAAAGAAAGAGACTGTTCCATCACACTATCATCCCTCTTTTCAACTTCAGTGCCTAAGGAAGGTGGTGAGGAAGTGAGGATACCACAGAAAGTCTTCAGTAAGCTTCACAGACGGAGAAACACAGAGTTCATCCCTCAAGGCTCTTTGGAGGTGATAGTGTGTTTTTTGGTTGAGTAATTGGGGCAAAATGTGTGATTTTCCAAGGCAACAAGATTCTTAATTAATCCAAGAACACTCAGAAAAAGCTTCAATACAGGGACCTTTATGATGAACAATATTTTCAGCAACAGAATCTGTTTGAAGTACATGATATATACGGCCTTCCCCAGATCAGGTGATTTCTGTCTGGTGGGGGGTTACTGCACCTGATCTGTTGTCTCTATATCACCGAAGTGTACATGTGTTGACAACAGAGACGCTAGGAACTACACTGAATTGTCCCATAGACAACGACCGTCAAATTGTTAAGCCTAGCAGGTAACGAGGGCTTTTAAATTTGGGTGTTTATTACACCTCATAGATGTGCCGCTACTCTCACGGTGGTTGGAAAATGGCTGCTTGACAATACCTGTGTCAGCCATAAATACTGGAAAATGCATATAGTTTTCCTGACTGACACGAATGGCCTATTTTCCTGACGTGTTAAATGGAGCACTGCTCCTACAGCACCTGCATGTTCTCTCTAGTAGTGCAGGTTCACTACTAATGCAGTGCGTAGGCATGCTTGTCTGTTCAAAGCATAATGTTAATGTGCAATAAATGAAACTGCAGTTTGTTTTTCTTCTAATCTTTCTAGTCTCTTGTTTTAAATTGTGATAGTTCTGGATCCCTGATTTTCCCAGATATTAAAGTATCAAGATATTAAAATTAGTACTTAGTATTTAATAAATGTTTAGAATTTAAGATGCATTTAGGAGAACTGTTCTGGCGGCCCACATGCAATGTTTTATCCTTCTTTCTATTTTCTGTTGTGCAGGAATGTTTTTTTCATCTTGCCCTTTTAGACAAGGTTATGCTTTTGATGCAGGGCCAGAGTTTCCGTGTTCAGTGATTTCACATCGTGAACAGGACCATTTAACAATGCACAATAAAGGCATAGTTCAATGGGGCATGAATAATTTGGCACTGCTATGAGTGTGTTAAATCAAGCTTTCCATAGTCAACAGCATCATCTGCAACTGTTAGATTTCTGTACATTATTTCAGAATGTAATTATTTAGCTACATTTTAAAAAGGAACTAAAACTGTGTGGCAGTGGCATCATTATTGCATATATGTTGTGAAGTGAGAAGAAATCAAAGAACTTTTTATTAATTTTAAGACTACAAAATCGATACACTATCCTCCAGAAATAACCCTGTTAGAGCCCTAGTTTCTGCGATGGTAAATAATGTATTTTTTGCGTGTAATGGCTGGCTCATGATCGTGTTCTTGAGGCTGTTTCTGTTAGAGTATCTACAAAAAACACTCCCAGGAGAGGAGACACACTAATACAACTAAACCTGTATTAACCTCCACTGACTCTGTAACAGCAATAAAGGTATGGCGCACCCATTAAAAACTCCAGTCAAAGACAAATTAAGGAAATTAGGCTTAACCCAGTTAAGTGTAGGTGAGAACGTACAAACGTAAGAACTTGGAACAACACCGTGGCTCATAGAGCTTAAGTGGCAATACCTTGCATAGTGTGCCACGCTTTCAGAGACAGAGAGAAATGCAACTAATACCAGAGAAAATGGAATTTTAAAGATGGATGCCTCTAATCACCGTCCTGATGTACTGCAGAGTCAGTCAGCAAAATTGGAGAGAAGAGGAGTCAGAGAATCGTTCCCCGCCATTATTTGCCAGACCTGATATCACAGAGCTAGCATCATCTTGATTGGGCTTGTAAAATATAGGGGCATGTTTGAATAAATGTGTCCGGTGGGCAGAAGCCCTACTGACCCTGGGAAGTAACTCAGGCTGAATGGTGGCAGCCCGGCTCCTGTGTTTGCTTTGGGCTGAGTTGTTTGAGATAGGCTGTAAATCTTGGGCTGGGGACTGATTACTGAGCTTGAGGTCCTCTTAAACCCCAAGTTAGCGCCTCTGCAGATTGGAAAATAGCTGTAGCAACTCAATGTAAACTGCACTGGGGATAATAACATGATTTGTGTTTTTAAATAGGGATACACATACATTAATGCACATTGAGGACACTTTTCTAAAAAGAGCAGATACAATAATGTATTTTGATTTGATGATGTTTTATTCCTTACAGTTCTCAAGCCACCACTTCCTAGCCACTCCATCTCCAGGTAATTGTAAGTTAATTGTTACAAGCACAACAAATATTTATTTTTTGGGTTAGAACATAAAAGTAACATTTAACTGACCAGCAAGCTTACATGGGTGTTTGAAATATATATGATGCCAGGTGTAGCTGTAGGCTTTCATTTCCAGTTAAACTTCTGTCAAACAGATCGCATGTACAGAAAGTAGGGCAGAGGTGGGATTGCTTCCTGTAGAAATAGCCCTTTGTATTATAGAGATGATTCAGAGGAAATATTGTTCAAATGGTCTTGAGAATTTTTCTTGCTCATTCATACAAATGTCTACAGAAAGACACCCCTGGTCTTACACCCATGCTCTCTCTCCTCATTGTGTTTCACTTAAGCTCTTATTTTTCCCCTCCTCTCTTAACATGCTCTGTGAAAGCTGTTCTCTCAGGCCTGGAGAAGACGCAAAGGGCCTAGGTGCCAGCCAGTTTGCATAGGCCTCTCAGTGGGTGGCATAGTCTGTTTTGCTGCTAGTCCCCCTGCCCTGTACTTCATTGATTTGCCATTACACTATTTTCAAGGTAAGGGAAGAGTCCATTAAACAGGCTTTGCTCTGCAATGTGTGTGCATAATGAAGTTTCCAGTGCAATGCTCAAGGAACGTTTCCCTTTGCACCTGTTCTTATGTGCTCGCAAAATCAGCACCGAGTCGACGGTTAATGCAGAATCAATGTTCCAAATTAACCGATGGACCCCACAGGTTTCAGCTTTTCCACTGCCGTCATTTGTTTCCCTCAATGAATTCAAGTGTACATGAACAATTCTGGTATTTTGTAACTGATTGTTTGATGCTGATTTGCTCTTTTAGTAAAATCTAGTTTGTGCTGATATAAATTAACTTGAACGTCAATTCCTGAAGGAAATACCAGTGCTTGCAAGGCAGAAATAGAACAGTGGTGATGTTCTAGACAAGCACAGGTTTTAAGATTTGGTTCTGTGTAAATTAAATGCCAGATCAGAGCCACTTTTGCTGTTGTCATGACACTCAGCGTGCATCTTATTTTATTTATTATTTATTTTCTCTCTGCAGTGCATGGGACCTCGCACCCAACGCAACACTGTCTTTGCCATGTAACACAGTGTCCTAACTACATGCGACGCCGCGACACGATAAAAGGTATCTTTTCCATGTTAATTGGATTTTTTGTCCTAACTAGCCACGGCGGCGACACATGAAATTTCAAATTTAGAAACGGTTTCTATTTCCGCGACGTCGCGGCTGGAACAACAACATACAAAAACTATATGACAGTAGATAATCTCAGGTAATTATATGCTTTATTCAAAGTTAAACGTGTCTAATATGAGTTTAAATATCATATTGCATGACCTTATAGCCATACTGAAAGCAACAATAGATAGTTTACCTGCGAACCAATGAGTGTATTCCATGACAAAGATGTTATCAGTCACTCAGTATGTACATTTAATGATGTTAAAAAGGTTTAATATTTATGAATTAGATTATAAACGTATCCATTTCGTTGCGAGAGCAGTGCGCTTTCAGAGAGCCCGCCCACACACGCTTCTAATTGGCTGTGATATTTGATTGATTCTGTCGCGTCACAGTGTCACGTCGCGTTTGGTGTGGACACCCAAATTGCTTATCGCTGGAATCTTGTCGTATCGCGTGTAGTTAGGACACGGTGTAAGAGTGACTTTAAACTCTTAAATAGATCTAAGGACAAAAATACCAATCGCAAGTCACTACGCAAATAGTTGCAATACCACAATTTGTTTTCCAAATATTACAATGCATTTTGAATGGTAAACATTTTTTTTATTTTAATATTAGGCTAAATTCTTGAAGAAAGTGAAAAGGGGTATATCAATACAGTTCTACCATGCAAGCACTAATTAATATATTGTATATATATTGTATTTATTTGCTTATAAGCAAAAAGCATGCTATTCGAAGGTTTAAAGGTTTAAATGCACATTCTTGCAAAATTTGCAAACCAGTTGGCCAACTATTTACAGGTAGTTACTACATTATCCATCGAGGATCAATAAAGTATCTCTTTATCTCTCATTCCTATTAATGACCCCTTTCTAAGCTAGTCTTCAGTGGAAGGCATTATTGCTCATATAGCTAGAGATAAACTGATTCTCTGGGTGCAAATGTGGTTTGGATTTAAAAACACATTGACATTAATTAGAATGCAGAATGTTTAAATGCCAGTACAATAATTTTTACATCAGATGTACATTTTATTATAATTTTAGAACTCCAATTGTACATTCTCTTTGAGTTTTAAGAGAGTTTTCCAGAATTTTCCCTTAAGGTTCTGAATATGCTGTAAGAAAATTCTTACTCATATCGATATAACCATATTGCTCATCCAGAGACATGTAACGTTGCTATTTGCTCTAACATGCATAACCCAGCCTGAGGAAAAGACACCATGCACAATGGACAGAATAATTGCATCACTAAACTACACTATATATGAAGAACCTAATTATGAAAACCAATAAAATCTCCCCAGGGTAGAAATACAGCATTTCACACTAATTGGGCCTGATTGATTGAAAGCGTGTTCCCAACAGCAAGTGTCAGTCGATCTATCGGTGTAGCAGTGCATGGTTTATTGTGTTCTAAACATCTCTAACTTGACTGTTTAGGCATAATGAGATCCCAGTTCTCCCAGTATGCGCTCTATACTGCACAGGATGCCTCTACTACAGGTATCAGTCTAATCTAAGAACAGATGGAGAGCACAGCAGTGCTTCTCAGATGGTTCTGCTCTGTTTACTCGTGAAAACACAGATAGCATATGCTGCTATCATATTCTCTTATTAAAGTCTATATTTTAAAACAGAACTAGTCGAGTCTTTTGCAACAATGAGAGAACGTGGAGTGTGGCGACCTTTTCAACAGACGGAGATTGGGGAGAAATCATTAAAAAGCCAGTTTACCCTGCCTTATGTCTTTTTTTTCCCTATTTGTATTAGACATGGCAGGTATAACTATAAAAATATATATATACCTCTAAAAGTGAATTCATCATGTTTCTGCATATTTTCTATATTAAGATATTATATTAACATTTTCATTAATGCATTTGGCACAGGCATTACCCAAAGTGACCCTTGGACCCTCGGTGCAATCAAGGTATGCTTTCAATGGGAATTGAATCCATGTTATTAGTGTGGCTAGCATTATGCTCTGCCAGAACATGAAAGCATTTTAATATTTCATTTGTTTGATGAAGTGTTAAGCTATTGAAATGCTACACTTGCTATTTTTCAACACACATGTTGTGATGTTTTGTTTCGAAGCCCATACCACTTTGCACTGACAATGCAGGCTTGCATAAATTGGATTTCAAACCGCACATCCACCATTGATTTGTGCTTCAAACTGTTTAGTATGACGCAACGATCAGAGAAAGCAATTTTCCAGCACCTCGTCATACAAAGAGGTACTAAAATCAGTTAAACACTCCAGTGTGCTCACAGAAGCCGCGTCTGAGAGATCCTTAATATCAAGGGTATTACTTATTGTCTGTTAATTAGTGCAGCCATCAAGTGGCCCATGTGATTACATCTGTGATTAAGAATTGCCCGCTCAGGTCTGAGTTTGGAGAGTTTGGCATGAAAGAGACTCCAAGGACACAAACTGGTTGGAGTGTATTGTCTACCATTAAGCCGAAAAATATTTTTGCTCAACATTTTCACTTTGTAACGAGTCAGTGTCCTGCCATCAGCGAGGGACAACTGGTAATGGCTGTCCCAGGCCCTGTGGTGGTCCCACTAAGGTCCTCTATGGGAAAGCCCAATCCTTCCATATTTTTCTTTCAGGACCAATGACTTTTGCCCCTGAAACCCAGTGATCTAATTGGTATCTGCTTGCTAGTAGAGGATCATATATGGATATTTATGATGCACTTTTTTTTACATAATTCTACTTTAAGATTTTTTATTTTAATCTTAATTTAATTCACACTACCCCAAATATGTGTTGAAATAATGCATGCATGCAAACACATGCTATTTGCAATCCATAAGACAACCTCTGACTTGTGTTTTAGAAAGTGCAAAGCCAGTCTGCAATGATTCCTCACCGCCTCCATCTACAAAGAGATGTGGGAGGACAAACTCGCTGGTTGTGTGATTAACAGCTGGGGTAAAAAATTTAAAAAATGCCATCATCTGCATAGGAGGTGTTTTGCTGTGGACGGTATAAATTAGGATGAAGCAATGAATGCAAATCAGACGAATGGATCAGAATCACAATGCCTCCATTCAAAGTGATATACATTCATTTAACGATACTTACTGTACAGTGGATGCTCAAGGCGACTGCATTTGAAATTCATGTGCTATAGGGGTGCTGTAGAACATCTTGGACGGCAACAGGGTGATTTAAGGGAGATTGAGAACAGCCAGATGCAAGACTGCCTGTGGCTATTCATCCAGGACGTGCCTTGTGTCCAAAAAAATACGCATCCCAAACTGGAACACAGATTTCCTGTTGCTGCTGCTGATGCACACATGTGTTTGTTCTCCGACCGCGACATCAGCAACAGGAATTCTGTGCTCCAGGTTGGCATGGCTATTTATTCAACTACCTACGTGCTTGTTATCAATTCCCTTCCATTTCTTTTTCTTCACGGTCGTTTTGCAGTGAACTAATCACTCTGACGCATATTCCTTTAACTTGAATGTGGATGCTCATGCAGTAAATACCAACTAAGATTAATATTAATGAACCAAATAGATGAGGTATATCGGAAAATGTTCAAACTTACCGTTTCAACGTAAGTCATTCCGGTCAATAAAACGACATGTATTCCGTTCATCTATAGCGCAGTGCTCCAGAGAGCGGAAAGCCCGCGCCACGCAAATGAAAATAAGCGCGCGTGGTCTTCTTTTAACGCAGATGGAGAAATAGCAGCGGTTCGCGCTCCTAACGTTAAGATTTTGCCTTGCGAATGAGGCAAAATCCACCAGGTGAGAGCCGTCTGGAAGCTTTTTAGAGTCCCTCGCACTGACAACCTCCTCCTTCCTCCGCGTTCAGAGGCGCATCTGCAGCCGCTCGTTCGGTTGTCACATTGACATGCCGCCGTCTGCCCAGCGGTCATTAATATCGGAACAGCCCCCGAGTCTCCAGAGATCAACCAATAGCGGCGGGGCGGAGAGAAACTCTCGCAACTGATTGGCTAAACAGTAGCGTCTGTCCGTTGGAGAAATAAAGAGAGGCAGAAGAAAATGGATATGTTGATATTAATTTCGGATTGCGTCGTATTTTGGGGTTGTATTTTTTTATTTTATTTTTTTTTTTTCAGACAGAGTATGAAAGATCATCGTGTGTTTATATAGTTTCTAAAATAATATAACCTCAAGTTCAAAGCATAATATGGGGGCAAACAAGTGCTAGTTGTCATACTTGGACACTCCAATTAATATTTCTCAAGGGTTGGTTTATTTTTTTATTTTTTTATTTAAGTTAATTTCAAGAGGTTCTCAGTCTTGACTTACAAAATCAGTGCATATTGTTTTTCTATGGCGTTTGTTGTTGTTACAATGAAAACGTAATGGAAACCACGTATGATAGGCTTTTTATCTGAAATTAGGTCTACACTGTAATTTTTAGAGATAATTAAAGATAATTTAAATAAATCATTCATGAAACCGCAAATATACACTAAATAGCATACAACTGTTTTGTCCAACAAAAAATTGCTTACAATTATTATTTGGCTGCAATTATTTTGCTTTTTAAAATAACTGTGTCATTTTTAAACAGTTAAAAGATGTGAAAACTTGGGGAATCACAATAATGCTGATAGACAGTGCTCTTACTTGGTATTACTTAAGTAATAACTGTTGTGTTTTTTATAGTTTTGTATCATCACAGGCAAGGTGTAGCAACTTCATTTAAGGATCAGAACTACCCAACAACCAGAATTTTGGGCTGAAAAAAAAAATCAGGAAGCTGAAGGTAGGCTTTCCATGTTTCCAATTCTTTAGGTTCTTGTTTCAGGGACTCTGACAGAATACATCATTTTTGTGGTGACCCTGTTTTTAGGGATGAAATCACTGTGAAGGTGCTTTCCTGAAACGGACCTGTCTTGCTTTACAGCCCATGCACAGGTCCTTCACAGCTCACCCTCGGGACTGCACACACCTTGAGAAAACAGGGATATAACTCATAATAAAACTCCCGATAGGGTCGGCCACTAGACCATTTTTTCTGTTCTGGCATCAGGAGACTGCTCTGCCAAAGAAGAATGTGCATGTACTATAAAAGCATAAATCTGGGTTTTGGTTGATGTCAGCAAGTATCAGGTTTTTCATCAGTCCATGCCCCCATTTATGAAAAATTTAGAGGAATATTAGGAATTTGTGAGGCGGTTTCGTCGTGGCATTTCACTGCATCTGTTTTCTGACAGACAAGGCCTTAGAGGGCAGTTCAGTTTATTGACTAGAGTCCCACAGTTATAAATATTTTTACAAGAAACTTAGAGAAGATGGTCTTACAGCCTCTGACAAAGACATAGAACCTGTAAAGTTTTCTGAAGAGCCTTTAGCAAAAGTAATTTAAAAGCTACAAGCGTATTGATTCTGAAACCACCATTATGGCAAATACTTGCACAGTTGTAAACATTATTAAACTGTATAAAACTGATTTTAATTTATGATAATATATTCATGTCAAATTGATTCAATGCTTGTCAGTCATAAACCACCCACGCCAGGCTATTGAACTATAAACTAGTCTTCCGCCAAGTAATAGTCAACAGAAATCCTAAGAAACCATTTTTTTTGTTAACCACAACTTCTTGAACTCAACATGTCATAAGTTGTTTTCTCGATCTCAATTTGTTCCCTCTTATTTTTTCTTTTGTCTAGAGGTGACAAAGACATATGTCTATAGCAATGCATCATGGATGAGCGTATTTTTACTTTGACCGAGGACTCGCCCAAGCTAAACCCCCGAAACACCTTTTCCAAAACAGTATCCTTAGAGGGCTTTGTCATAGACACTATCGTGACTTTGAACATGTGGTTAGTTTTATTGCCAGCCAAAGGATGTTTGACAGATGCAGATAGTTCACCCAAAAACGAAATTTTGCTGAAATCTTTTTCACACATTACATCACTTGTTCACCAATGGATCCTCTGCAGTGAATGGGTGCCATCAGAATGAGAGACCAAACAGCTGATAAAAACGTCACAATAATCTATTCTTGTGAAGAGTAAAGCTGTGTGTTTATAAGAAACAAATCCTTAATTAAGACATTTTAACTTTAAGCCGTCACTTCTGGTTCATATTCCATTATAATTCTTCCTCCAGTAAAAAAGTCCTTCCCCTGTTGTCCTCTCACATCAAAATCCGCCAACATATTTGTTTAGAACTGTTTTGGACTGTTTTCGCTGGTAAAACTGTGCATATTTCTCAGACAACCTTTTTTGGAAAAAGAAATATTATGGATAGAGGACTCGTATTTTAGCTAGAAACAGCAGTTTGAAGTTGAACACTTTTTAATGATGGATTTTTCATACAAACATGCAGCTTTTCGCTTCACAAGATGTTAACTGATGGACTGAAGTCATGTGCATTACTTGTGGATTATTGTGATGTTTCTATCAGCTGTTTGGACTCTCATTCTGACGGCACCCATTCACTGCAGTGCATTGGTTCTGTTCTGACTTGTGACTGAACAGAGAAATGGCAAGTGACACTTTTTTTTTCTCTCATGAGAAAATTACGGCGAGATCACAAGAAAATGATAGATGACCTCTTAGGCTTCTGTATTATTCTGATTATTGTAATTTATATAGAACTTTTATCCTTATTATATTACTGTTGCAGCCGTGTTATAAAATACAAATTGATAAAAGCAATGCCCCATTGATAGGTAATAGCTGTGACATGAGCCACAGACATAAACAGTCTAATTTCCCAATATCCACTGCATCAGCACATTGCTTTTCAGTTTGGTGGAGTTGCAGAAAAAAGCTGGACAAGTGATGCTCGTAATGTGACAGTGGCATGCCTGCAGAGACGCATGAGTTGCCTGGGAATACGCCTCTCAAACTGTAGCAGTTCTTGTGGTATGGGGCTGTCTGTGCCTGCAGTGCAGCTAACAGGCTTCCCAGGTGGGGGTTTGTTTAGTTAAGACTGATGTAGAGACATCCTGCCACCAGCCAACCACACACAACATCTCACTCTCCTCATTAGGCCTCCACACTCCCATGATGCTCAAGCTACTTTGCCAAGTTAAAAAATAGCTTATTTTCACTTCCAATGTGCAACAGAATCAGAGACTGTGTTCTTTCTTGCTTTCTTTCTTTGTCTTACTTCCTTTCTTTCAGGAGCCAGGTGCACTGCAAAATTTATTTCACCTATTAAAGGCTGCATAATTTGTAAGTAAAACAGTGAGAAAGGGTGGATTTATTAGCCGGTGATTAGAAGCTTGTGTCAGCACACTGGCTAGCCCTGCACTTTAGTTTATGTATCTCCAGTCAGGCGTTCAACGCTCTTTAAACGGCCTTGTTAAGAGCGCAAACGTCCTGAGAGGCAGCCATCATACACATCCAGCTTTCCTCTGTTAAAGTCAATATTATTAGTATTCTGACCAGCACCTGTGTAACACCATCTCTTCAAGCTTTGCTCTGAATGCTACACAAGTTGACTGGATAAAAGGATAGATTTCTTTTTTGTTCCATACAAAAAAGCAGAGCGAGACTGCAGTTTTAGCCGCGGGATGTTCAAGGGCCTCTCTGAGGAGTTCTGTTGTCTCCCCTGGTTGTTCTGACTGAGTTCCCAGTAAAACTGTCCAGGTTAACCTCGCTCATCTCAGCCGATCATGAGGTGAGGCTCCAGGAGAGAGCGGTGCCATATCCTGGAGCTTCGATGTTGGGAAACGGGTGGTATACATAAGAAAATGAGACAGAAAAGAGAATAGAGAAGAAGGGGCTTCTTGTTGGAGGTGGCACCCTGGTTTTGTGGAAATGGACAAGTGTGGTGACTGATCGAGTGCACTGAGCTTGAGTTTCAGATCTCATTGCATACATAGACTTCAAAAGCTCAATAACAGATTTATGACTGGCTTTGGCTGTCCATTGTTGAAAACCGTTTTTATGTGTGTGTGCATTTCTGTGCAATGATTTTGAAATTGAATCCTGGGATTTCCACCCAAGCCCGTAGCTAGAAATGCTAGGGCCCTTACTTCTTATTCAACCATTTGTAAGGCAGAGATACAGTACAGCTTGATGGGACGGTGCATGTTGAATTGTGCTTTGATAAATTGCCCTGTGCAGCTTATGCACAGACGACCTGAGTTCATATCCAATATTTCAAATGAATATTACTCAGTATATCTCTCATCACAGTTCTCTTTTGTCAATACCTTTATCTCTTGATGTTTCTCATATATCTGGTCTTTGATTAGTTCCTTTATTTCTGCTTTTTACTGTTAGCTCTGTCCTTTCACTTTTCTTATATTTAAACTCATTTTGTACTGTATGTATTATCTCTCTTTTCTAGCTGAATACTGGTTATAGTAAAGTAGGTATAGATTCCATATAACTCAAATGTAATCGTTATTATTTAAATTATATTTAATACATTTAAAATGAATTAAAATATCTCTTCTTATTATTTCTTACCATATTTTGACAAAATACATTGAAAAATCAAAATAAATAAGGTATGTCGCATATATACATCGGTATTTATTTATTTATAAAGTTTATATAGTTTTGAACTAATCGGTTAAGTGATTCATTCAGTGACTCAATTATAAATAATTCTGAACAGAACAGAACAAAGCTGTTGTGAATGATTTAAAATTACTTGCTCATAAAAACACTTGTCACCCCCTGCTTGCAAACCAATGTAACCTGCAGAAAAACATGAATTTGTCATCGAAAATCATGTAAAAAAAATAAAAATAATAATAATTATAATAAAAAAACTGAAATATTTTCCCATTCCTTTCTTTTGTTAAACATACTGATTTTTATCTCGGACATTTGACTAGAGACATGTAGTATGTTGTATTTAAAAAAATTGTCACAGTATCAAACCT